TTTCAGCAAGGTTATTATGAAGGATAAACTTGTTCCCTGATAGCGAATTAATGGAATGCATCTTTTTACTAGTATGTAATAACAGTTATTTGACATTTTAAGTTGCTCAATTGATCAGATGAATAATATAAATGAAAACATTAAAACAAATGTTACTTATGATAATTGTATGCACGGAAAAAAATCTATTTATTGAGAAAACTTATGTTAATCAGTATTTACAAGATACATTGGTACACCTTATTTAACTTCTGTGTACCCTAATCCTAGCAATACTATTTTAATATACTCAAACAAAATTCATTATTTACAGGATTTTTAATAATTTTATTGATTGTCTTTTTTCTTTTATATACACAAAACAGTCAATTACATAAAATATTAAACTTAATTATGTTTAACAACATATCACACATCAGTTTTAAGAAAATATTTATTTTTTAGGAATAGTGTTGTTTTTCCATGTCTTTTTACGTAACAAAAAGTTCAAATCATATTCTGTATTTACTGCATAGTACACATTAGCTGTCATTGGTAAAATCATCTCTGAAATATCAAAATCGAAAAATAAATTTTGTAAAGAATATACACATGAAATACAAAAATAGTTAAACAAACCTTTATCAGGTAAAACTTGAGACAATGTATAGTTTTCTGGATCATCATCAATACAAAATTTCAGCATAGCGTTTCTAATAACTTGTGGTGTTCGTTCATTGTTACTCAACATAATACTTTTGTATAATACAACCCCTAAAATAAATAAAAAATGAGTATACATATTTTTTAATTTTCTAACAACATTTTTTTTTAAGTACATTAATGTACTTAATGAATAACTAAAAAAAAAGGTAGTGACTTTTCACTTGGCTTCTTTTCTCACGTGTTTTTTGTTATTAATTTTACGCTTATCACAAATTTTTATTGTCCCCAAGGGCACAGATTTTATATTTCTTAATAAAAAAAAAATCTTACAATGTATATCAAATACATTTTGGGTGTAATTAATCACATTTTTTAAAGAAATAATTTTTATTTTCATTGTGGGTTACATGCAGCTACTTAAAAAAAAATRTTTTTGTAAATATTTGATAGATTAACTAGGTTWAACTATGTTTAATTCTACCAGTGGTCAAGSCTCATAGTGAAATTACAGGTTCAATTCAAACATTGTATGTATTGGGGCGCCTTAATCTTGATTAACTGCTGTTAATGACTTCTCAACTTATATTAGTGCCCCTGGGAGCCAAAAAGCTTAACACTACATTGATCGTCAATAAGTTATATTTACATACATTAATGGAGCAATCTATTTTTTTGAAATTGTTTACAAGAATCTTTCAACACTAGGTTAATTTATAATGTTTTTAAGGAATCAACAAGGAAATATTAGATTAAATTGTTAATATATTTTTACATAAAAATTAAATTAATCTTATTTATTTATAAAATAAAATTGCGCAATCTTTATTTCTTTTATTTAGATTATATTAATAACCACTAAAAATTTCCCTAAAAAATTCTGTTATGGTTATATTAAAGTTATACTTGACCAATRATAAATTAGCCCATGGTGAAAATGACTCCTACATATTATGCAAATTCATTTTATGCCTTTACAACTTAAAMAAATTAGGTTATTATGTGATTAAAAGAAATTGTAATTACTTAATAGAATAACTTGTAAATTTTAGTCATAGTTAAAGTTAGAAAATTCACTGAACARGAGTTAATATTATTAATTTGATTTTAGTTTATCTATTTTTTAATATCCATTATTGGGTAAATTAATCAAATAATTTTACTCAGTGGAGCCAATATTGCAATATTTATCATATTGCAGATTTGGTAATATGTTGCCTATGAAACTTACATATTCAACACTTATGCCAACCAGATCACCCACAAAACACAAAAATTCTTATGTAGAGTTCGGATTTTGTTGGCATTTAATTTTTTTTCTATTGGTCTAAAACAAAGCTATGTCAGCCATACATTTAATAAAAATGCTTA